TAGGGAAAGTAGGTCACTATGTACTCCTGATCCCTGATTTTCAATGTCTGAACTGCCCTGTTAGCTACCTGGCTCAACAGCTGTGACAAGTCCTCGTAGACCTCCTTCTGGCTCTTCCAGGAGTAAGGATCAGTGACTTTCAGAGAGCCAAGAGCAGTAGACATCTGAATAAACTTCTCAGTCATGAACTCTGCATGTGCTTGGGAGAGTAGCTATTAGCAGACCATGTTGTTCTTTCCAACTGTGCCTCGTAATACAGAGACTGATTTTCTACAACTGGGAGTCAAGATATTCTAAATAATAGTCTTCCTTAAGAGACCAAATTACTTTAGACCCTACATACCTTGGAATCAGAGAGACATACCCCATTTGAAATGACTCTTAATAGAGAAGTAGGGTGACTTCAAATGGAGGACCACCTCACTCTTCCTAAGTATGTGGGTTTTGTTTTTTTGTATTGTTCAAAGGGTATTCAGCAGAATGAAGTTAGCAAGCAGGTAGCACATGTCTGCCACCAGTATGCATTTGTAGCAGCCATCCAAAGATCTTGGTTTTTAATGGAAATAGACAACATCTTTACTTCAGATTCTTTTCTGCTGACTCTTGAATGAAATACAGTAGGATCTTTTCAAAGAGCAAACTAAAGGAAATATTTTTCTGTCAAATCATTTATACTGAAAAGCTTCAACAGTACCTGATTAAGTTTCCATTTCTTCAGTTTTATGTTTGAGTTTTAATAGAACAGCACTACTTTGATTTTTTTTTTTTTTTTGCCTTGCTTGCTGAAACGGAAATGTATGTTTGTGTTTGTTTTTAAAGTTTGGTTAGTAGTAATTTCTTTGAATAAAGTTTTTGAGCAGAATGCCTAACTGGTTTTAGGGAAATGTTTTTGGTATCTTTGGCTTTGTGTTAGTTATGTGTATGGTTTGTTCTGACTGTGCTGTGTGTTCACTTTAGTATTTTTTGCCATTTTTTCCATTTTATTAGCGTCATGCCCTATCACTTTTCCCCTCATTGATTTCAAAACAATGCATCTGCAGAGAGATGGGGAGGGTAAGTATGGTTCGCCATAGTTTAGCTTTTTTGCCTTTTTATGGTTCACTTTGTTTGCCTTTTTATTAGCCCTTCTCCTGCTGTCCCCATATATTAGGAAAACTATTCTGGGTTAAAGATGATACCCAGAAAATATTGTTTTTGTTAGTTCCTTCTTTTCTTAAAACAGGAGATTTCTCATAAAATGTTTATTACCAGTTACTTATTTTCTGGGAAGCAGGTACAAGGGTTGTTTTGTAAATCATTTTATTGCTGGGTTTATTATGGGATTGCACGCTTAGTACTAAATTTTTAGTTATCAGATTGATCTGGGCTTTAAAAACTAAATTAATTATGTTATTACCCTGAAAAAAAGTAATGCTTTAAATTGCTAATGCATAAAGTTAAACTAAATTAGTAGCAATCTGTAGGTATTGTGTGAAGAAAAAGAAAACATCATTCTTGATTTCTGACACTGTCAAGCCATTATTGCATCCAGAAATACTTAACTAACTTTTGCTATTAAAAGCCACAGTATCAAAGTATTACACTGTAGTTATAAAGTTAACATGTAGATGGAAAAGTCCCAATCCCCACCCTGAATACAGTGATACTTGAAGATAATTTTGTATTTGAAGTATATTTGTGGATTGTGTGTTTATCTATATGTGTTCTGTATGTAATCAAACCTTATTTGTGCAAAGACATCAAATATCTTAACATGGCTTCATTTGAGAACATACAGGATAATTCCAATAAAATAAATGTGCTTAAGAGGGAGTAGTGCTTTTAAATTTTGTCTTGGTCATACTTTTGGGTGTTTACTTATTAAAATATGTATTATACATAGGAATCCTGTAGCAGAAAATAACCACCACAGTTTAATGTTAGAGGCCAGGTACTGTCAGGTGAGTTAGCTGCTTTTGTTTGGGAAGGTTAGAATTCTTTTGGAGTCCAAGAACTCCATTTGTTAAGTGTTCTGAATAGCATGGGGAATAGCTTCCAGTTCTTAACACAGTCATTTTACAGTGAGGGATGATTTACTCACCTGGCAGCATTTGGCTAAGTTAAATTCCTAACTGATGACTGTTAAGTGTTTACTGTTTCTAAATGAAGACTTTTCCCTACTTGAAAAATAACACTTTAATTTTAAAGAGCTTGACAGTGTCCCTTCTTACTTTGTGACTGGGTTCAGAAACTTAAAGTGTAACTCCTTATGTGAAATTAGAACTCTGAGCTGAAAAATGAAGCTAAGACAATTTTAAACTATAGTAGGCTTTATGAAGACCTTAGTAACCCATAATTATTATATGAACCACTACATAATGATAAAGGTTTAAAGAACATATAGCTGATATTGCGTGACTTTTTTTCCATGTGGAACCAAGAGACCCATGGTACTATTCTTTGTGTTTGTTTTGCAGAGCCATTTCCTGCTTTTAAGTCTTGGCAGGAAGATTCTGAGTCTGGAGAAGCTCAGCTCTCTCCACAAGCTGGAAGAATGAATCATCATCCTCTGGAAGAGGACTGTCCTCCAGTATTATCACACCGGAGTTTAGATTTTGGGCAAAGCCAGCGTTTCCTACATGATCCAGAAACATTGGATTCCTCATCGAAAGCACTTTCTTTTGCTAGGTATATGACTTTTATGTTCTTATGGGAGGTGAATCCTATCACATACCCAGGTCCTTTGAGAGATTTTAATCCTCCAGACCTGCAGTTGAGAGCTTTCTCCCCTATTTCATGAAGCATGCTTTTGTAATTTTTTATTTTGGGTGCCCCTAAATTCTGAGTTCACTGAGGTATTTTTGGGGTTTGCTGTCCAATAAGACATCTTTCCATGGTGTTTTTATTCATTTGTGACTGAAATATAGAACTCTGGAAGGGAAGCCGCAAGTGGAGCTCATCAATCCTCGATGTTTTTATCGTCAAAACTTAAAATTGATCCTGAAAGTTAGAACCTTTCCTTTGCAGTTTGAACACCAAAAGAGCTCTGAGCTGCTAGATGTCTTTGTTTCTCTTCTGCCTTTGCCCAAACAACTTTTGAATGATTCCCAATTGTTTTCATCGCTACTTGTGTTAGCTAATTTTGTGGTCTCTAACATAGTTTAAGTTTCTTTTTACTACCTGTCCTTTAGTGTTAGGGACTTAATTTCACTTTAAAAATATACTTCTTGGTAATAGTATCATGTTTTATCAGGATAATAAGAGAGATGGTGATGATAACTTAAAGATTTAACTAACAGTATTTGCCTCTTGTTTTAATTCAGCATTCGAAGATCATCTTTTAGTTCAAAAGATGAAAAAAGAGAAGACAGAACACCATATCAATTAGTCAAGAAACTTCAGAAAAAAATCAGACAATTTGAGGAACAGTTCGAAAGGGAAAGAAATAGCAAGGTAAGTTTGTAGCATTGTCCACTGTGAGGTAGATCTGTTGGAACTTGGAGGACTTTCTTGGAGAGCATTAGTGCATCTCTTTCCTGGGAGAGAGAACGAATCTAAGATGCCCAGAGAAATAGTGATCATGTAGATCTGGGATTATATAGGTCCTTAGCCTTCTGATTCCAGACCAGTATTCTTGCCATTGCACCATTGCATTTTTATATTTCTATTGGAAAACAGCTTGTAGAATTCTTAAAGCAAATACTTTACATTGACAAATCACATTAATGCTGTGCTCTCTCAAAAACCACACGTAGCCAGGGGATGTGGGGGTGGAGGGATGAGATATTTAATAATTAGAACATGTGAAGTGGAAAAAGCCCTATACTTGGGAGTCGGAAGACCCATATTCAAATCTGGCTTCTGCCAGTTGATAGGCCCTCCTCTGAGAGAGCTTTACTTAATATCTTGCCCTGTCTACTTAAAGTAAGATGAAATGAGGATTGAGTGAAATCTCTGCCATGAGAACTATAAAATACTATTTGGGCATAAATTAAAATAACCATTGGGACTTCCTGGCGGTCCAGTTGTTAAGACTCCACGCTTCCACTGCAGGGGGCATGCATTCAATCCCTGGTCGGGGAACTAAGATCCTGCATGCCGTGCGGCATGGCAAAAAAACAAAAAACAAAAAACCATTGCTTACCCACAAAGGTTTAAATGGATTCTCTTTCTTTTTTTAGAATTTCATATCTTAATTTTATTGAGGTGTTAACAAATCTCTTAAAATACTATCTTTATGAAAGAACAGTGTCTATCTATGAGTAGATTTATAGTGGTAGAGTTGTTTTAGGTTGGATCATCTGGGAAACATTCTGAGACACAGATTTCAGTGCATGCGATTTCCAAGGGAGTGTTTAGGGAGAATCGCAGCTGTAAGGAGTGAGGCCAGCATGGTTTAGTAGAGGAGGTTCCACGGGGTTTCAAGCTAGGATGGCTGCTCAGGATTGACCTGAATTGAGATGAGGGCGCTAGGCCTTTTTAATCCCACATAACCAGTCATGGATGCTGGCTGCTCTGGAAGAGGGGTTGTAACCTTGGGCCAGGCAGCTCCTTTGGGCAAAGGCAATTATCAGAGATGGACTTAGCGCAGGTAGGGGGTTGATGAGTGCCTAATCAGTGATTCTGTTTTCTTAATTTTTCAGCCCTCCTACAGTGATATAGCAGCCAATCCAAAGGTATTAAAGTGGATGACAGAGCTCACCAAACTGCGAAAGCAAATCAAAGGTATAAAATGTGCCATTTTTCTAATATAATTGCATTTTAAAATATTCTTTATAATAATATCTGAGAATTATAATTTTTGATAATTTTAAATCTTGGACATTATCTGGCAAAATAAAAGTTCTCTTGTTCTTTTAGTAGTTATGGTCAAAGTTGCAGTACTATATTACATTCTTCCAAATGTCTTTCATGTGTTTTTATTAGTAATAGCCTTTTGAAGGGTACCCTAGATTATATATTCACAGGTGGTATTGTATTATGAAGTTTATATGAAACATATTTCAAATATTAAGCAGTTTTGGGTTTGGGTAGGTATTAAGAATTTTTGGTGGGTATTTCATCCAAGGCTAAGAATAATCATCAGCCTTTTATACTATAAAGACTAAATTGTAAGTCGTCTTGAATCAAAAACTAGGTTGTGTGTTACTGGGTGTCAGTCCAGTATAGCACCTGCTAAGGTATATTTCCTTTGTGGGTGTTTAGTGTTAATAATTGTTAATACCTAAAAAATTATCTGTACCAAGTGTGGGTTTGTAATCTGGAGCATCACATTTTAGTTTATTCATTTGAATTTATTCAACAGAAATTTTAGTGTCTGTAAATACCAAGTACTTGAAGACATCTGAGGTTGTAGCAGTGAACAAGACAAACAGGGTCCCTATTGTCATTGAGTTTATTTACATTCTTATGGTTAAATAAGTTCTCCTACTTCTTTAGAATTTTCCCTTAAAATTCTGTCAAAAATTTCCTCGTTTAACACCAGTTTCCAACCATCAGTGAGAATCACTACCTTGAATGTATTCCTAATGAGTGTTGTTAAATTATTAGCCTTCTAATTTCCCAATTTTCTTCCACTCTTACTGTCCTACAGTGCCTTCTCTGCATAGCAGCCAAAATTATCTTTTATAAAAACTATGTTACTATCTTGTTCATAGCTCTTCAGTGGCTTCCCTTTCCACTTAGAATAAAGTCCAAACCCCTTACCCAGGCTTTCAAAGCCCTTTATACTCTGCCATTTGCCCATTTTATCACTTTTCCTCATTTTCTGTTCCTTAAATATGTCATGGTTTAGGGACCTTGCTCTGGCTATTGCCTCAACTGGGGAGAAATGTTCTTCCCCTAAATCTTCTATGCTAGGTTAGCTCCTTTTAAATCCATGTTCAACTAGGATGTTACCATCTCAGAAAGGCCTTCTTTGTCAATTCCATCCAAAGGAGTTGCTCTTCCAAAAAGCACACTTCTTTAACATTGTGACATCATTCTACTTTATCTTCTTTATAGCACTTAGCAGTCATTGAAATTATTTTATTAATCTGATTACTTAGTTTTTGTTTTTTACTTCCTGAATACATGACAACAGAGACCATGTTTGTTTGTTTACTACTGTATGCTCATCAGAGCATCTTACTTTAGTCGGCTTTCTATGAATATTGGTTGAAAGAAAAACCATATAGTTCTCTCAATGTATATATATAATTTAAATATTTCATGTGACTTTGAAATATCTGAGCCTGTGTGCTGCTGATGTATACTTTGCTTTTGCATCTCTTGCATCTTTTTTGACCTAGCTTCATTTTAGCTAAAATCAGTATTACTGATCTACCCTCTTGGTTCTGAAATGTAGATGCAAAACACAAAACCTCTGATGGAGAGTTTGTACCTCAGACACGTCCACGTAGTAACACTCTTCCAAAAAGCTTTGGCTCTTCTCTAGACCATGAAGATGAAGAGAATGAAGATGAATCCCGGGTCATTCAGAAGGAGAAGAAGCCATCTAAGGAAGCAACACTTGAACTTATTCTGAAAAGACTGAAAGAAAAACGTGTTGAGAGGTGTCTTCCAGAAGATATCAAAGTAATCTTGAGCTATGGTTTTTGCCCAGACTAGCCTTTAGAATACCTGAAATAAAATAATTACAATAGTGGCATAAAGATGTCTAGGTAGTCTGCTGACCTCAGTTTACTGTCCACGTTTGTAGTTATAGAAGCATGTTTTTATCAGCACAACAGAAGTGCTTGAGTCGAAATAATAAAACTAAAAAAACTAGAATGTGGTCTGTTCACTATACTGGAGGCAGTTAGCAGGATGAGTGTGTTAAGAGCACGAAATATACCAGAGTTTCAGTCTTGGCCTTGTATCTTAGTAGTTGTACGTATTAAATTCTTAGCTCATGCCAGTTCCTGACTGGTTATATTATATGCATTCTGCCGCTGAGTCCCTTCAACAGCCATGTGACTGCGATTATGTCCATTAAAGTACTAACACAATATGGTTATGAGGACTAATTGAATGCATTTTTATGAAGAACCATTACTTAGTATAGCCTATGCCTAAGGCAGTCCTGGTCAAAGCACTTGGCAACCAAGATCATTTATCAGATGAAATTTGCTGGGAGACTACAGAGGTAGATGGTCTTAGGTGAACTTTTGTCCAGGCAGTGATGAATCCTGATGTGCATTCCTATCTTGACAACAGAGTACACCTCATGATCGAAATATTGGAGTCTTTCTCCCTTGAAACAGAGCTGGATTAGAAATTCTAGTTGCTCCCCTCCCCAGTTTTTCTTTCATTCTTTCTTTATTTATTTTTGGCTGCATTGGGTCTTCATTGCTACATGCAGGCTTTCTCTAGTTGTGGCAAGTGGAGGCTACTCTTCGTTGCAGTGCACAGGCTTCTCATTGTGGTGGCTTCTCTTGTTGCAGAGCACGGGCTTTAGGCGTCCGGGCTTCAGTAGTTGTGGCTCACAGGCTCTAGAGCACAGGCTCAGTAGTTGTGGCACACGGGCTTACTTGCTCTGCAGCATGTGGGATCTTCCTGGACCAGGGATCAAACCCGTGTCCCCTGCATTGGCAGGCGGATTCTTAACCACTGCACCACCAGAGAAGTTCCCCCAATTTTTCTTGGTTTTGCTTTTATGTTATACCAGCCTCCTCTCCTCCTCAACCCCTTTCCTATAAATGATTTTGATTGGATTAGCTTTATTCAAATTCCTTTTCCTAGGTTTAAGGTTCAAGCTTGAGGTTGAAATCACAATGTTTTACAGTCTTCACCCGGCTATCCTCTACTGAACGTACATAATCTAAAATGCTTGTTATAGGAAGTACGTATCCACTGAAGTTTTTTTTGTACCTCTGGTTTTCATTCTGATGACAAACAGGGTAGTTTTAATTAGTCCTAGGAGTAATTGGAGAGTTTTATTTGGGTTAAAGTGTATTCTGTGGAACATTGGTTCATTGGTATGTTAAAAGGTCGTGCTGTGGAACAAAGGGAAAAGGAGTTATGGGCAAATAAATTTGGGATTCCTGCCTACTACCATTAGAGTACTGAAAGATGGGAGAAGAGTCTCTTACTTTCAGTATAAAGAAAGTGCCAGATGAAGGGGAACTGAAGTCATAGAGTAGAAGGCTAGGGTCACAAATTGACATTGTTGAGCTTTTTTCAGGATCTTTCCACTATATTGCTGCCAGATTTTAAGTTTAGGAGAAACACCAGGTTTAAGACCTATGCTTGTTGTGTGCATGTGTTTTGTGTATGTGCCCACACACAACAAAATTATAGTTATAATGCTAATAAAAGATTATGTGCAGGGCTTCCCTGGTGGCGCAGTGGTTGGGAGTCCACCTGCTGATGCGGGGAGCCCAGGTTTGTGCCCCGGTCTGGGGGGAATCCCACATGCCGCAGAGCGGCTGGGCCCGTGAGCCGTGGCCTCTAAGCCTGCGCGTCCGGAGCCTGTGCTCCGCAACGGGAGAGGCCGCAGCGGTGAGAGGCCCGCGTACCGCAAAAAAAAAAAAATTATGTGCAAAATTAAATAAACTAATAGGCATTTATTTTGTTTATTGTGTGCTGAGTAGGCACTGTGTAAATGCCTTTACAACGTATTAACTCATTTAGTCCTCATTAGAGCTCTGTGAGGTAGGTGAAGTATCCCCATTTACAGATCAGGATGTTGAACAAAAAGAGGCTAAATGGGCTTCCCTGGTGGCGCAGTGCTTGAGAGTCCGCCTGCCGATGCAGGAGAC